TATCATCTTAAAACTCCAGCTTTAAGGGAATACAATACTCTCTTTTGGCCTCCAAGGGTATCTATATGCAAGTGCACATAATTCAAAATTAAATCTAAAGAAAGTCTATTAACATGTATGGAGCACTATGGCATTTGACAGTGAGCCAAATACATTTTGTAACACCTTATTTAATATTCACAAGAATTTCATAACAAGTGAAATAGTTTACATTTGGGGAAACTGAGGCTGGAGGTTAAGTAACCTGCCTAAACTTATACAGAATTAAATAGCATGTCCCAGGTTCAAGCCCAGAGCTCTGATTGCAAAGCCAGTCCTAATACCACTATGCTCTTGTCCTCTGTCTGCCTGGGCCAAGAGAGTCTTAGAGAACACCAGCTTCTTACCTACAGATCAAATCAATGCACCACTCAATGAGACCAGGAGATAAAAGTTCTTTGTGGATTGCACAGCATTGAGGGAGCGTTCCCAGATGCCTGGGGGAGTACAGCTAGAAGAACGAAAGGCTGAAGTCAAATTTCATCCTCCGCTGTGTTTGGCCTTGCCCTGATCAGTAAGTAGCCTCCGTGCCCAGGGGACTGAGGCCTGGATGACAATGAGATCTTTGTGTCTTCCAGCCAATGGGAAGCTCTAACTGGAGAAAGATGCAGTAAAAAGGCAACGGGCTGAATCAGCCTCTGGTGTGCCTGGCCTTGTGAGCCCAGCAGCCTTGGCTCCGAGCCAGATACACAGAGGGCACAGCCATGAAGACTGTTACATGATCCTGCCCCTGCGACTAGAGCAGGCCAAGCTGGCACCAGTTCAGTCTGGACCAGGATATCGAGGCCCCAGGCTTTGTCGCCCACCCTGTCCCATTGGTTTTATAAAGCCTCTCTTTCCTAGCCATTCAAGGAGAATAGGACTAGGTTGAAGTTTGTAGATTAAGAAGTTTGAGGTAAAGTAACATCATCGTGGGGCCTTACGAGATGGAGGCTGGAAGATCAAAGGGAAACAAAGAAATGGAAGCAGAAGCAGAGATGGGAGTGAGGCACTTAGAAGGCAGAGGAAAGCGGATTTGGGGTGTAGCTCACTAGGTAGGATGCTTGCTTAGCTTGCAGGAATCTTCAGCATCACATAAAATAGGCATGGGACTGGAAGTCATGTCACAGGGGCATGCCTAAGGCAGTGGGTTAGAGGGACATAACTGGAGCAGGCCAGAGGGACCTGGAGGGGGTGTTGGCCAGGAGCAAGAACCTCAAGGTCCCAACTTGTTATTTTGCTAGATAAAAAACAGGTCCAGCGGTTGGAGAAGTGGCCCAGTAATTAAGAGTGCTTGCTGATCTTGCAAAGGACCCAAGTTTGATTCCTGGCACCCATGTTGGAAAGCTCACAAGCACTGGTAACTCCAGGTCCAGAGGAGGCTGACACCTTTTCCTGGCCTCTGCAACACACATACATCCTGTTTTATAAGGGTCATCAAATCTATGCAAAAAACTTGGTTCATTACTTAATCCAAAGTATGTGTTTAAGAAATGCTATTCAACATCCAGGCGATGGTGGTGGCGCCTACCTTTAATTCCCAGCACTCGGGAGGCAGAGGCAGGCGGATCTCTGTGAGTTCGAGACCAGCCTGGTCTACAAGAGCTAGTTCCAGGACAGCCTCCAAAACCACAGAGAAACCCTGTCTGGAAAAACCACACACACACACAATGTTACTCAACCATCTATTCCATTTCACAAATGGAAAAAAAAATATAATTCAGACAGGACTGGGAATGAGTACAAATTTACTTTGTAGATTAAGGGTTTTGAGGTGTTGTAACATTAATGGAGACTTAGTGGCAGAGGGGGAGCTCGACCAGGCCTCCTAAGCTTCCTTCCCTTCCCATGAAGCCCTGGGTAAGGCAGGAGACCCAGCCCTATCCTCCATAATCCTGTCTTGATCAGGGTAATCCTTGCTGCAGTACTCCTGTGCCCCAGCATTATTTAATGCCAAAATCAAATCCTCCCTGGAATTCTACCACTTTCTCTCTCTCTCTCTCTCTCTCTCTCTCTCTCTCTCTCTCTCTTTTTTTGTTTTCTCGCCT